TGTACTCCATACACCCAGAGGCTCCTACCCAATGGATGAGAAGGGTCGGCACAGATATGGAGACTATGAATGGAACAGAATGACAGAGGGGTACAAGGAAGATTTGTCACCAGGGCGTCCACTCTGAAGGGCATGATCATGGAGTACAACATAGCTCTGGCAATCCTTCTGAGAACTTTGTTTAGAGTTATAGCTTGTGATGGCTCTCTCGGCTGTGAATATGGACCCCGCGGTTCGGTAGCGACCGGAAAGAAAGTGTGTCATGTAGGCACTGAAGGCTCATTCATATCTTCTGACGATGCTTTGACGATACGTTGATAGTGCTTTGATGAAACATTGACGATGCTTTGATGATGCTTTGACAATGCTTTGACAATGCTTTGCACGATGATCTACCAAGCGATCGATCTGTTGCCCACGAGTCTGTGTAAAATCTGGGGGACCATCTGTCGATGGGGGGACCTCGTAACCTGGTTAACATTAAGCCAATCACTCGACAAGATCCAAGATCTTCATCGGGTCTTAACCCGATCAGCACCGAAATAGTTTGTGTTGGGTTGGCCCCAAGTGCCCCGGTGTATATTTCCTGCAATGAAAATCAACCTATAACCTATAGCCTGTTGGCATTGAACGTTGTGAAGCCCGAAGCCTGAAGCCTGAAGCAGTAGAGCGGTCAGTGAGGATTATCACCATTCCCACGCGCTTCCTTGCACGCAATACGGGAAAGACCTTACCGGCCATGGAAGCCTTGCACCTTGGCAAAAAGAGGCCAAGGGGGGCTCAGGAGAGCGTCTGTAATCTCCCGAGGTAGACTTTGACCAGTGGAACAACCATAGTGTCATTGGTTGGATTTGGAGATTGGATCCCAACTGCCAATTGCCAATTGCCAATTGTGTACTTGGTATGGAGTATGGAGTACATGATTATATTATTGTGAATCAATTAAGAAAGGGGGTGAAGGTAAAAAAAAAAAAAAAGTGCCCGATAGCATACCAACCACAAGGAATTTGACAAAGGCTAGTTATTTTGTTAAACGCCGTTTAATCTGCACATCTATCGCATCTTCACATCACCTTTCTTACTCTTTTCCTTATTTCTCCTTGGACCGGTGTTGATCCCGGCTGGTGGCGAGACTCCTTTTTTTTTTTGATTTCCTACAAAAAACCCAGCTCTCCACCAGAAATTGTTGATCATTTCAATTTCAGATCCTTTATTTCTACCTAAACAACTTCCTGCAGTTTGAAAAAAAAAAAAAAAAAAACCCTTCCCCACTGTCCCTAAGCAACAAAGGTCCAAAATACCGTTGACGATAACAGAGCTCTGGTAAGTGATTAGTCAAACTATTGGAAACAATATGACCTAAAACAGACTAGCGTTCCACGCGTGTCGGTCAAGCTTGACTCGCTGCAACTTCATCCCACCTTAAAAAGGCATCTTGCCCAAAGCCAAATAAATAATCTTTTTTTTTTAATTTTTTGGGGAAAAGTCAGGGTCATGCCGTGGACAGTTACCAATTCATTTAAAAGGTATGTCTGTTTGGATCTATTTAGAAGGGTGAACTAACATCCTACCTCTAGAGGATTTATGAAAACTTACGGACGACCGACATGGCGCGTCTATGACGATGAGCGCGTTGCTAAGAAAAGACGCGTGGACGAGTCCGATGAAGCTGAGGCCAACCTACAATATGCCATCCGCGAGTCTTCAGCCGCCGTGTTGTCGAGCCCGTCGCGTCGCAATTCCTTTTTATCGGAAGGCACACTCGATGAGATTGACGATCTCACCACACCACCTTCGTCGCCACCTCCACGGTTAACCCCACCACCAGCAAATACTCGCAAGCCGACATTTGCCTTTCTCAAGCGCAAGCACAAGGAACTCACGACCGGATCGCCCTTGACAGAGGTTAACTCCAACAGCGTACGCACATCCGTGGACCCACCCAAGCAAAAAGGTCAAAAACAACCCGTCCTGCGTCAGATGCAGATCGACCTAGGAAATGATACACGAAAGACATGTGCTACCTGCAGCATGGAATATATCCCGTCCAATACAGAGGATGCGGCCCTTCATAAAAAGTTTCATGAGATGAATGCGACTGGCATCGACCTGGGCAAGGCTTTTATGCGTGCCAACGCCTCACGCTGGGTTTACGAAGCGACTCGATTTGACGAGGGATATGTGGTGATTGTGGACCGCAAGGCATCCCCCAGTGCAAAGAGTCAAGCGAAGAAGGTCCTGGAGGTGGTCAACAAAGAGCTCTCATCCCCGGAAATCGACGACGAGACCCTCTGGAGCCAAACCGAGCCGCCCAAACATTTGCAGGATGGTCCGACCGAGAAAGTAGATCGGTACCGGGTCTTTCTGCATATGAAGGATAGTCGCTGTGTCGGGCTCTGCCTGACCGAGCGCATCTGGGAATCGCGACCGGTGGTGAAGGAACAGATTGGCGACGCACACAACGGATCCTCGGTCTCGACGCGAGATGAAGTCCGCCCGGCCATTGTCGGAGTCTCTCGCATCTGGACCTCCGGGGCCTCGCGACGGAAGGGAATTGCGTTAGATCTCCTCGACTGTGTGGTCATCAATTTTATTTACGGGATGGAAATAACAAAGGCTCAAATTGCATTCAGCCAGCCCACGGAGAGTGGCAATCGCCTGGCACATAAATTCTTCGAGGGCGAAGAGACATGGCATGTCTATAACGAGCGGTGATGGGGAGGGGGGCACTTGAATACGGGAGGATCGTTTTTTTTTTTTTCTAATTATTTCACAGCAATGGGTGAGGCATATTGGGGGCTTGGGTTGTATTCTCTGGAGAGCGTTTCCTTTTTTTTATATGTTTTCTGTACCATACCTGTACCCTTTTCCCATGTACAACAGGGAGCTGGGACGCATTCGTTTCAAGATTCCAATTTGACTGAATTAGTTATTAAACTAATACAAGAACCATTGCACTTTTATGCTGTATGCATTTTTATCCAAGCCTCTCGGGGTAACCGGGCTCGATCTCGGAAAGCGGCGCCTAAACAACTAGGAACCTCATGGGATAAGAAACTCGGCGGGGACCCCTCAATTCTTCTCTTCCATTTTTCTCTATTCTAACATATTTATGCTCGCGATGTCTAGATCAAATCCTTTTCGCCCTAGAAATCTGGGTGAGTCTTGTTTTCCCTCTTTCCCCCTCTTGAGCCTTCCCCGGGAACACAGGGAAATCATCCCCGACATGGCGCTGATGAATCCGGATATACAGGCAATCCCGCAGATCCATTGTCTACCAACTCGGGCACTTTTACCTCTGCCTTACCCTCTAAGCTTCTACCCACTCCACCTATAGCCCCCAACGGCTACCCCGTGAAGTCGTCGATATCGCTCGAACGCGAGGTAGCTGACTCGAGCTCCTCGGACGAAGAGACAAACCCATTCAATCTGGTTGTGTCTGCGACCGATAGTGAGGACGAAATCAATCGGTACAAGGGTGATCGACCACCAGAATCCTTTGGGTCAGCTCCCCACCCAGCTCCATCAACAGATGGGTCCCCAAACTACAACATGCGGTCTGCAACAGGTGCAGAGAGCTTCCATGCAGGACGTCCTGCAGCACGGCCGTCTCTAGAGCTTGACACAAGCAGCTCTTTCGGCCGAGTCAAAGACAAGAAGCCGCCGCCTCCGCCTAGGAGTCATCACGGCCGCAGAATCGGCTCTTCAGCCACCGCAGAATCCTCCCAGACCGCCCTGTCCCGGTCAACTAACCGCCTATCAATTCCTGGTTCCCCGGGAAATGTGATGCTCGGCGCCTCGAATCCCAACTCGGTGTCTCTTTTATCGACCGCGGACTATTTCTCGGTCTCTGGAGCGATGGGGTCGACGGACTCGCTCCAGCGCAGCCAGTCTCAGCAGAAGCGTCCTCCGACGCCACCTCTCAGTCGACGGCACAGCCAGATGCGGAGATCCAAGTCTACACAGTCCCAATCTAGCAGCAGATTAAATATTTCGTACGATTCGGAGAGCAATGACAGCTCTCTGCCTCCCAGTCCGGGCCCTTCCAGTCGAACGCTCGTGAACAAGAGAATCAGCATGCCTCCGCCATCCTTGGGAGACTTCCAGGCGACTATCCCGTTGGGAGATATCTCCCTGAATCTGTCTCCCCCAACTAACTCCAGACCATCATCATTGAAGGCTGGGACGCGGGCATCATCCCATGGGAGTGTACCAGGCTCTACTGGACCACCTCCACCCCCTCCGCCTCGGCGCACTCGAGATTCCATTGCCCGTAGTAGTGATGTGGTGGGGTTGAAGGAGAACCAGACACCAGCCCCACGACCATCCAATGCCCTTGATATCCTGGCTGATCTCACCAGACTTCAGAAAGAGGTGGATGATCTGCGGGGGCATTATGAGAATCGGAAGGTTGAGTAGGGATCAGGGTGAGCAGCGGGCTGTTTTCTCTTCCACATTTTATTATAGGCGATTGTATACATGAATGAACGAATGTATGAATTTGGCGTAGTGTTTGCCAGCATTAGATTTCTGGTAAATTCCGAACAATGGCCTGTTGGGAAAAGATGACAGGCGAGTCCGATGTATGGTGATTAGTGCTTTATCGTGATAGCGGAGCTACAGGTTTGTGGCAAAGACATCACCATTTTCGGAAATGTCGCCTCCACTATCATCTTGAACTAAATAATTCAGATCACTCAGTGTTTCATTCAAGAGACCCTCCTAAGCGGAGTAATAGATGACTTAGCCCAAGACTATAATGGTCGTATTGTCAAAATAGCCACTAACCGCTGCCGTAGACCACCCCGAGGTATGACGTGGGGTGGAATGAAATATTTAGATCTCAAGTTAACCACCACTCCTTCTCTCTTCAACCTTCATCTCCTTTGACATCTCCCGCTGAATTATTGACTCTGCTGAGCTACCAATTCATCTTCACATCTTCGCATCATGACTACCCCAACGCTGATCAATTTGCCTCCTCCCCCATCGGAACCCGTCACTCCATCGGATATGGGACCGTAAGAGCTCTCTATAACTCCGTCTTCCCTGTGTCTACATGTAACATGGAGGAGTGAGTTGACTTGGCTAATCACCGGGGAATTCAGAGGCACCCCCAACTCCGGCACTACATCGCTCTCTGCTCTCTCGACAACAGCCATCAAAGACGGCCACCAGGGCCAAGCATTCCCCTACAGCCACCGTGCGCATCAGTCCTCCACATCCTCCACCACAACCCTAGAGGCCGAGCGCGCAGATCGAATCTCTCGGCTAGCGGGTCTTGAGCGCGTTGCCACAGCCCGCGCTGGTGGTCAGACATCTGGCCAAGTGCTTCCACCGTATTCTCCAGGATACTTTGAGAGTCAAGTATTGAAGGAGCGCAGCACAGTTGGCAGCGCCAGTGCGACGGGCAGCATTGCTGGACGCACCACCTGGGCGAGCAGTAGCGACACATGCGACGCCGACAAAATGAGCGAGGATCACGAGGACGATGGCACCTCCAGTGTCGGTAACGTCAGTGACGAGGGTAATGCTAGTCTAGTTGGTTTCGGAGAGGGCGCCAACAGTACTTGCAGCGGACCAATTTCTCGTCCTCCTGGAATTCACCGTATCTCCTCCGGAGGCATCGGTGCACGGCCTACTTCTACGGGTAGCTCGAATGTCAACCGCCCGAACCCGTTGGCTTCATATCTTCAACAACAGCAGCATCATGCCGGAGAGAGCTCTATGATCTTTTCGTCGCTCGCCGGATCGATGACCCCCGAGCCTATGAATGAGGATGCTCGCATGGTTGATGGCATGACCTTTGACTCGGATGTTGTTGATACAACTGCTAGAACTCCACGACTGGTCTTCACGCCCGGTCACAGCAGCAGTGGATTTGGCTCGCCAGCTCGGGATTAGAGTCTGGTTCATACTTTGATAGATTCAAGATGTCACGAAGGCGTCCCCCCCCCCTAAGTAGCTTGATGCCTTGAATTGCTTCAAATTTCTTTTGTGTATATTCCTTTCAAAGGAAGAATGACTAGGCATGTAATTATAATCAGAGAAAACGACGTATTGAGACATGAGATCTTCCCAATATCCAAGTGTCGTCAGCACCTAGTTGGGTCTGTCCCCTCCGAAAGACGATTGCCACCTGTCTTTTTCACATACATCCAGATACCTAGGCACAATTTTGAGCTTCTAGATATCTAGGCATAGTATATCATCCAGCTACTATATTGTTCTATTCAAGCTTCAATTCAAGCCAAAGTGTACGATACAATAGGGATTCCCGGCACAACGCGTGTACCGCAGATGACGGCATGCCGCCTGAGCCACATCGCCAAACCCGAATTTTCTTCCTTTCACTCTTCAACCACCCCAACTACCTTTCTTCGCCCGACCTCTTTTGCTGGCATTGACTTGTCTAGCAGTCTTCTATTCCGCCGACTTGCTGTTTTCACTTGCCCAGAAACCCCACGAAATCCCAATCCGAGAAATACCCCCGAAAAGCCCGTTTCGCTTCGCCTTTGTTCGACTCGTTCATCCACCGGGACCGTTCTTCATTGCGAGGTTATTTTGGTCTTTTAAGTTCGCTTTGTGATTCGTGTTTCTTCCTAGAAGAATCAATTTTACCTTGTGTTCTCGAAAAGCATTCGATCTCTCTTCCTTTGGTGGATTCATTCTAGACCTGCGAGTCGAAATCAAGATGGCTGCTCCCACGCAACTTGCTTGTACGTGTTTTCCTTTCCTTGTCTTTGTTCTCGATCTCAGGTTGCATTAGTCCACGCAGTGAATGAATGGTTACTGATAGTCGCACAGTCCGCACGCTCAAGGGCATTAGCATCATGGATGCCGCCCCTGTCTACCAGCCCCTTTCTGGGTTCGCGAAGTAAGAACTGAACCAGACAATCAACCAGAAACTCAGCTGACTCGTTCTCCAGACCAGAGGGCAACCTCCGCTGTAGCGCCTACTCGCCGTGTGGCCGGTACTTCGCATGGGCATCACCCGAGAAGTAAGTTGGTCAACTCCCGCTTTCAAGTTCAAAATCTAACCTTCATTTCCAACGTAGGGTCACCATTATCGATCCTTCCGTGGGCCAAGTCGTTGGGACCATTCCCGCCGATAACGTGTTCGAGCTTGGATTTTCGCCACTTGGCACTTACGTGATCACCTGGCAACGCACATCCAAGGACATGAACGGAGACGCCGTTAAGAACTTGAAGGTCTGGCGTGCCGTTGAGGACGGGGATGATCACTCGATCGTGGGAAGTTTCGTCCAGAAGTCGCAGACCGGTTGGAATTTGCAGTACACTGCCGATGAGCGGCTGTGCGCCCGCACCGTGACCAACGAGGTTCAGTTCTACCAGAGCGACAACCTTTCCACCGTTTGGAACAAGTTGCGCGTGGAGGGAGTGGCGGACTTTGCGTTGTCGCCCGGTCAGACCCAGTCCATTGCTGTGTTCATTCCTGAGCGCAAGGGCCAACCTGCCCAGGTTAAGGTGTTCATTGTGCCCCAGTTCACTGCGCCCGTGTCCCAGAAGAGCTTCTTCAAGGGCGATAAGGTCCAGCTGAAGTGGAATGCTTCTGGAACCACTTTGATCGTGCTCGCGCAGACTGAGGTGGATCGCACTGGCAAGAGTTACTACGGCGAGACGACCCTGTACTTGCTGAGCGCCAGCGGTGCATTCGACTCGCGCATTGATCTTGGTATGTTTTACTCGCTCTACCACTTGTTGAAATTAACTAACACTCAACAGATAAGGAAGGCCCGATTCACGATGTTAGTTGGAACCCCAACTCGAAGGAATTCGGTGTTGTGTACGGCTATATGCCCGCTAAGACAACCATATTCAACTTCCGCGGTGTGCCCAAGCACAACTTCCCTCTCGCGCCGCGCAACACTATCCAGTTCTCGCCTCATGGCCGCTTTGTGCTGGTTGCCGGTTTCGGTAACCTGGCAGGACAGATGGACCTGTACGACATGGACAAGAACTACCACAAGATCACCACCGTCGAGGCCTCCAACGCCAGCGTGTGCGCCTGGTCGCCCGATGGACAGTACATTCTGACCGCGACGACCAGCCCCCGCCTGCGCGTCGACAACGGCGTGCGCATCTGGCACGTTAGCGGCGGTCTCACCTACAACGAGGAGATGACCGAGCTCTACGACGTCACCTGGCGCCCGCAGAGCATCGAGCAACACCCGCTGGGCGAGCCGCTTGCCAAGCTGCCTGTGCCCCACCCCTCCGCCACTGCCTACATGGGCACGCGCAAGGCCCCCGTGAAGCCAGCCGGTGCCTACCGTCCCCCCGGCGCCCGCGGCCAGCTGACCCCGCTCGCATTCAAGCGTGAGGACGAAGGCGGTGCCGCCTTTGTCCGCGATGGTGTCCCCGGCGCCAGCATGAACACTTTCGGCAAGCCTCGCCGTCGTGAGATCCCCGGCGCCGAGCCCTCGGAGGAGTACCTGCCTCCCGGAGCTGCGCCCGGCGGCGGCGTCGCTCTGCCTGCCGAAAACCTGTCCAAGTCCGCCGCGAAGAACAAGAAGAAGCGCGAGGCGGCTAAGAAGGCTAGGGAAGATGGAACTGATGCTCCTCCTGCTAACGCCCCGACTGGACCCAGCCCAGACCGCAGTCGTAACCGCGGCAAGAACGCTGTTGCTACGAATGGAAATGGTGCAGCCAAGTCTGCCCCTCTCCCTCCTGCCGCTGCGCCTACTCCTGCCCCTGCCGCTGCTCCTGCGCCTGTTGAGGACCCCTCTGCTCAGGATAAGAAGATCCGCGGCCTGCTGAAGAAGATCCGCGCTATTGACGAGCTTAAGATGCGTCTTGCTGGTGGTGAGAAGTTGGAAGATACGCAGATGAAGAAGATCCAGACTGAGGATGCGGTGCGGAAAGAGCTCCAGGCTGTTGGGTATGATGGTTGATTGGTCTTGAACAGATGAGAATGCGTCATACTTGACGCTTGACGACATTGATGCAGACTGCATCCTTGCATGGATATACCTGGATTGACCTGGATTGACCTGGATTGACCCGCATGTATTGCATCTGGTGCAAGAGCTGCTCATCAATATCCATAGCAATATCAATACCACTCACTATCTATATGAACTTGAACTTCGGAACCGTAACTGTAATCGTCTACAAATTTATCACATTTACCATAGTGATGTCTACAAGTATCACCCAGACCCTGAAAACCCATCGAAAACACCAGTCTCCCTCTCAACCCTCATCCGATCCCAATTAGCCCTCCACCACCAAACCCATGTCTCATCCAACCCAGACAAGTCTCCTTCTACAACCTTCTCATGCCAAGGCTTTGTGGCGAAGATATAATGTACAGCCCGAACCTCGCTATCCCTCCAGATAGAATCATGCACCCCCGCAATCCGCAACGTCCTCAGCGCATTATAAACATAAGGCAATGCAACCCACCGCCCATCAAAAACATCAGACAGCAACTCCTGATCAGGGAAGTCATACCGCTCAATCCGCGCTGTGTCCTGCAACGCAGTAGTAATCTCGCCATACACACGCGCGGAAGGCCGCACGACTAACACACCGCTGTTCAGCATGCCGACACCGGATCCGGGAGGCGGCGCGATGCTTTGCGCATCAGTGGGAGTGGAGTGTTGCTTTGTATAAGCGCAGTTCGAGGGGATCCTGGTGGGAGAGTTGTTAGTATTGCGTCTCGAGAACTTGGGCATTCAATTGGACACAAGGGCAAAGGAGGTATCTCTCTAATTGCGAGAATACATGTTACATACCAATTAGCAGGATAATGCGCCTTCTTCATGGGATTACAAGCACAAGCATGCGCGGCCGCAAACACCCGACTACCCTCAGCATTGGTTTCGTCGTCAAGCGGCAATTCCATTAGCGAGTCCATATTCCGGCGGACGAGGATGTCGCCGTCGAGGAGGACGACGCGCTCATATTGCTCGAGCGAGAAGACGACTAGCTTGTTCCAAGTTTCGGCGAAGCGCGGGTCTTTGGCGTAGCTGCGGGTGCTGGCAGGTGTTACTGAGGGAACCCATTGGGATGCGATGTTGCGGCTTTGGAGGATTTTAAGGCCTTCGGGTGGGAAGGTTGAGGTGTAGAAGGCTACGAATGGGTATTCTGTTTCTCGGGTTGCGGATTGGGTTGTGATGCTTGGGTCTGGGGAGGGGTGGTTGAGGGAGTAGTGCAGGGTTAGAAGGCCTGGGAGGTAGGACATGTTTGTTATTAGGGAGGCCCATACTGTTGAGATTGTTAACTTTGGATTCTTGGATCTTGGTTCTGATGTTGAGGGGTTGAAGTGGAAGACTCACTCCGCTTTGGAGGGGATTGGTCTTGGGATTGATTGGTCATGGTTTGATTTGCAATTGGGACGGGATTGGATCGCGACTGGGACTAGGAATGTGACTGGGATTGACTGGGATTGACTGGGATCGACTGGGATTGAGATGATTGCAAGAGAAGAGAGATGGCGGGATGGAAGTCGATTGTGTTATCTGCCCCTCTGTGGAGATGGATTTCCGGGGAAATAGATTGGAGATAAGACATTGAAAACAAAGACAGGGCAATGGGGAATTGATCTCTTTTCCTAATGCTAATACAATCATATCTGAGTCTCTCCTTCATCTCCAACTTGCACACCCCAAACCTGCCACCTAGCTTCCTCAATAAAGTCTTTCCGTAACCACAGCCCAGGCGGCTGGCCCTGCGCCGGAGATAGCAGCCCTCTACTCGAATGATCGCGTTCATCTCCAGGCTGAGTACGATCTAGCCAATCAAACAGCAGACGAAGCTGCCAAATCCGATCACGAATTTGATCTGGATCGGCGCCGCGACCGTGGGCAGATTGCACGATGTTGCGCACGGTATGCGACAGAGCGAGTCTCGCATCTACGGCTGAGGTACGAAGCCAAGGCGGTATAGAGACAAGATCGGTGGTGATACGTGCGGAGCGCATCGGGAAGGAAGATGGAAGGACGAGGGAGCGCTCGCGGATGTCGAGGCCTTGTAGGGAGGGGAGGTGGAAGACCCAATCCCAAGGGTTTTGGGAAGGAGTAGTTGCTGCAGATGACTTGCCGGTAAGTAGGGCCGTGCGAGTTGGCCATGCTGAGGGTGGGAGGCCCTTTGCAGGATTTGAGAGAGGACCGGTGGTTGTTGGAAGGATGTCTTGGGCTTCACTGAGGCCGGTCAAGGTGGAGGCGAAGACGGAGGTTGAGGAGCTCGGACTATAGGTTGCCTTGCGGCGAAGGTAGACGGATGGGTCGCCGCTGAGGAATTTCTCACGCAGGGCATCGTTCTGGCTGAAATCTAGAACGAGTGGCCAGTGGTCTGGTCCGCGAATCTCGACACGGGAAATGCTACTGGGGTCTGGCAGTAGACAGGGGGCACTGACGGTGAGGGTGGTCTCGTCATGAGATGTTATGGTAATAGGGATGGAGATTGGGCGGCGTGTATCAAGATCACGAGGGATGAGGCACCGTGGTTCAGCAGCGAGAACCCAGAGATGGCGGAAGGCTTGGAGGTGGCACTTGTTATCAAGGACGGTTGTTGGGAAGATCGGGTAGAATGCGCAGATGAGCGCGGTCACAGCCTGGTTGGACGTGCCAAGTGTGTAGCTGCCTCCTCCAAGGAAGAGTACCCCGATAGCCATGTGTGCCGCCATGTGACTGCCGTATGGCGTATCAGCGTCGATTCGACCGTGGAGCGAGCGCAGGCGTCGAAACAGAGCTAGATCACCTGTGCCAGCCATGACTGCCGCGGCAGATAGGCTCACCACATCTTGACAGTTCCGAACCGAATTGCGGGCGAGTCTAGCGTCGTAGCTTCGCACAGGTAGCCGTGAGATGCGGATAAGCTGGTCTAGATAAAACATCAAAAGATCCCGGGCCTGCGCCTGTCCCGATCCAGCATGTCGGAGACCGACGGCAAAGCAGAGGCCTGCAATGATGTTGAAGAATGGCATATCTTCGCTGCGCAGCCGGCGCACATCGGTGAGTCGCGATCGTCCTCGGTAGACTTCGGGAAGACTTTGGCTGATCCATTCAGGAGTGGGCTTGATGCTGTCCCACATGATCATGTGTCGTGCTAGTGTTCGCAACAGGAACAGATCTGGCCGAACGTAGTCGAAGCGAACCGTGGTATCGGGAACATCAATCTTCTTGGCTAGTACTGAGTCGTTGGTCTTCATGAAGACGATCATGAGGGCAATGGTCGCGCCAGCTGTGGCACGGTCGAGTACATGGGCGATTTCGACGGTCTTAGTGCCCACGGCAATTGACAATAGTCGTTCAACAATGTGCATATCGCGCATGCCCTGTAAATCATCGCCTTTGCCAAGATTAATGAAACCAAGGGCAAAGCCTGCGGCCAGACGATATCCTTCGTCACGGAGTTCCTCTCCGGTGGCAGCAGCTTGCTCGTCCTGTTCACTGTTTTCGATTTCTGAGAGCATGATCTCGCTCATACGACGATGCTGGGAACCACAATAAAGTAGACCAATGCCCATAATTCCAGCAGTCTGAGTCAGTGGCGACAGGTTCAACTCAGCTGCTCCAAGTGGAAGCATTCTTGTCACATGTACCGAAAGCAAGCGTGTGATTAGAGTATCCATTGTGCCCAGGTACGACGCAGAGAGACCAAGCAGGAGACCAATTGATGTCATGGTATGCTTGGGAGTGAGGTACTTGAAAGCAACCCACTTGGCCAATGAATTAAGATGGCCATTCAGACCCAGGGCCAGCAAAAACCCGGCATGCCGGTTGGTAAGGTCCTGTGGTTTGTTGAACAAGATCCATGATGTATCAATACCCTTCGAAGCCTTGGAGATTGCCAGACCGGTTGATACTCCGTTATGGAAAAAGGCCCAGCAGACCTTTTCTTCCGAGAACGCAGATCTATCCGCGCTGACCGTCACATTGTCTGGCTTCATGACGCACTGCAGGGAAAATGAAGGAATCGGCAGTTTCTCAGTCAACAAAGGCAATCGGCCACTGAAAGTGAGCATCGCACGACCCGCTGGAGTAGACAACGTCCGAACTGTCACGAGCTGCACGATTTCTTTCTGCGCCTCTAACAAATCCGAGTCACTCCAGCCAGGTTCAGCTATACACTCTGCCACCGGTGCTTTGGACTGGTTTAGTAATTTAGTTGCTTCCGTAACTCGCTTATCATCTCGGAATATCAGCTTGGTAACTGAGGATCGGTCAGCCTCTGCAGAGGCCTGAAAAGCGTTAATGGCATCAGTATCCAATGCCGAGCTGCTGATATAATGGAAATCCCGAATAGCATTATGATTAGGCTGCTGTGGCGCTGCCAATGAATTGGTCTGAGCCGGGTTCATCGACATGTAAAGGTCTTCTCTGTCAATCAGCTCTAGGAGCGTCGCGTTCCAGGAGGTGGAGGCTTCGATCTGGCATTGCATAACGGCTTCATAGATCGGGGCACTGACGCCTTCTGGGAAGCTATCGATGACACTCTTCGTGAACCCCCAACGCTGCAAAAGCTTGATCTTTTCCAAGGGCGTTGATACGCCGTGGATCTCAGAGAAGAAGCCATTCAACGCGCACGTCCTTGGCGTGATGCTGAAGCATTCACGCCACATTCGCCCTTTCCTAGGTGTTCGCTCGGATGCATTCACAATGTCGAGGAGAGAAACAAATAGAGTAGGGCTGCGATGAGCAGTAGCGCCCATGAGAAATTCGAAGATGGATGGAGGCGGGAAGGGTTCGGCGGGAACCTTTAGCCCAGCGATATAGGTATTATCCTCAAACTGCCAGCGCTCCATACTGGCCATTTCGGTACCATAGTAGGCGCCCTCAGTCCACTTCCAGGATTCCCATCCTAGCCAGCCGCCCAATTGTGCGATGACGGGAGCAAGCAGCCCCAGAGGTCTTTGAGACTCCTCCGAGTCGCATTTGGAGAGCTTCTGTTCTTCGCGCAATAGATGCAAGGCCACGAGAACACTGCCCAATGCGGTACATCTTGTGTTCTCTGAGAAAGCTTCAGAGATAGGGAGGTAGCCGTCGCGGCCAGCAGCTCTAAGACCTTGTGGAGTTCGAAGGAATTCACGGCTGAGGGCGATGCACCGGATCAAGTACGGATTCTGGCGATATGTAGACCGACTTGCATTGGCACCTTTGGATGTATCTCCTGATGCGGGATCCTCGATTGCGTCTTGTTCAACGATCCACCCCCAGGAACTGTCCATCATCCACGGAGCTACGACACCGGAGGAGCCAGACTCCAGGTCCAGCATAGACTCCCAGCTTTCCAAATCCAGACGTCCTCCACTGCTCGACCTGGGCAGACCTTTCTTGCGCCGTGCTCGCTTGGGAACCTGGGTTTGTGGAGGGGTAACGAATGGGGCTGCTAGACTCAACAAGACGACTGTCATAGCAGTCCACTCAATGTTGTTTTCCTCCTTGCCCCGAAGCCATTTAACCACCTCCCACCAAGCGACCATGATACCATCGCCCGCTTTCTCAGACTCACGCAAGGCAAACTTGCAGATCTTGAGCGTTTTTTTCACCAGTTCGTTACGAGGCTCCATTCGGATTTGAAGCCTGTGACGCTGTTTGTCGGTGTCTACCAGGTCGATCTTCCCTCGAGAGCACCCATGATCAAGCCTGTTGAAGACGAGGCCGGAATCTGCCATGACCCGGTTGACACCACTTTCTCTCGGGCGACTCTCAAGTTTGTTGGCCGAGATGCCATCCGGTTCATACAGCTGCAGTGGCACAGGAACCTCAAATTTGACAGGACTACCCCACAGAGTTTGCAATGATAGCTCGCGGTGTCCGCTTTCCGTCTCACTCAGCGAGAGTATTCGCGAAAGATCCCCATCGGAGATTCTACAAGCATCCAATACATTTGACACATTTTGGATCCTTATCGCACGCACGAGTAACGGACGTTGCTCAGCGGTCTTGGACTTCTTCTTCCGGTTCTTGGAAGATGGCTCTCGGTCGGCCTTTAGATTCACTATAGTTAATTTATGTGCCTCCTGGTCCACGATGTATACTGCCAGGGATGCTGTATTGCCTTTGTGGGCGCTTCCAAACTCAGTGGGCGCCAACGTAGAGACCTTCAACCGACGGGATGCTGGCTCTTTTTGGAAGCTGCCCGAGAATTGGGACGAGAAACTTTCAACCTTGGTCAATATGAGTTCTTCCGGAAGTCCAGATGTCGATTCGCGTAAGGCAGCGTTCTCGAAACCGGAAGATAGACTGTCATTGTTGAGCTCTTCTAGTAGCTTGTCCACTGGGGTATCCAGAAAACTGCCCACTGTGCTGTAAACAGACCCTGTACCTGGAGGCAGAGAGCCTCGAGGGTTGAAACCAAAGCTTGCACGAGTG